GCCACAGGAAGCGTGCTGTGCGGTGCTGCTATGGGCGCACTTCTGTACGCGGGGAAGTATATGTATACACAGCACAGCAGAGTGTGCTTCTCCCCTTGCGAGGTGTAAACAGCACAGACAACATGGTATAAAGGATAGACAGCATATCCACAGAGCAATAGGTGTGTGAGCGCATGGCTTGCAGTGGTAAAAGTGACTGCAGAGAGTATTCAGACGGCGGCTTAACCCGAAAACATCGCTGATTTACATCTCTGTATAGTGTGAAAATAAGGCACTTCAATGCACATGCGTACATACACTACTCTGCCATAAACAACCCACTCATCACATGGTGTAGAGGAGTAAGAGTATGATAAATAAATTAATTGATAAACTGTCTGCATTATATGTTTGTGTATGCGAATATGTGTGCATAGCAGGGTATGCACCTGCTGCTTTCCTGCTGCTTCTTATTACAGTTGACTATGGTTATGTATGCGCGCTTTTGGGAAATTTAGTCTATTTGGGCGTGATAATATTTCAGTTGCATGACGTGCAAATTTTCATGAAGTTTTCTTCGCTTTCCATACTAGAGAGTCTGAAGAAGAATCTTGCAGAAAAGGGATTTGATGATATGACGCCTGTGCAGGAGAGTGTGGTGCCTCTGCTCCTGCGCCAACGGGACGTAGTGGCTGAGGCGGTCACCGGCTCTGGGAAGACACTTGCGTTTCTTGTGCCCCTTCTCCAGAGAGTGCTGGGAAAGAAGCGCCCAAAGAAGGCAGAGGGGCCGCGCGTGCTTGTTGTTGCGCCCACCCGCGAGCTTGCGCAGCAGATCCACCAGGCTGCGCTGTCCATCTCTGGCGGCCTTGGAGTGAGCATGCAGTGCATCACTGGCGGCGCAGAGGTCGGCGAGATAGTGGCCCGCCGCGCGCAGGGAGAGAGCAATGCGGATGCGTGGCCGGATGTCATGATTGGCTCGCCTGGGAAGATTTTCGAGCTAAGCAGAGAGGGCGGAATGCCTCTCCGAGACGTGGAGCTGTTTGTTCTTGACGAGGCCGACAAAATGCTCTCCTTTGGATTCCGCAAGGAGGTGTCTGAGATGCTGCGCATGCTTCCGCGCGCAAAGCAGACTGCGATCTTTTCCGCCACGGTATCTGAGAGCGTGCACGCGCTGGGCCGCCTGGGAATGCGCAGCCCCCTCTTTGTGTGTGTGAAAAACGCGCTGTGTGTGCCGGACGGGCTGCGCCTGCACGGGCTGTGTGTGCCGCCTGCAGAGAAGAGCGAGGCTCTGATGCGGGGAATACGCTCTCTCGGAAAAAAAATCATTGTGTTCTTTGCCACGTGTGCGCAGGTGGACTACTTCCACTCGCGGCTGCTGCAGACTGCTGGAAGAGAGGGCATGCCCACGTGTGTTCTGCGCCTGCACAGAAAGCTGCCGCAGACTGTGCGCGAGCAGACATACGCAGAGTATGCAGCTGTTGAGTCAGGAATTCTGCTGTGCACAGACATCTCTGCGCGTGGACTGGACTTCCCTGGGGTGACTGCTGTTCTGCACTTTGACCTTCCGCAGGACCCAGTCACGTTTGTGCACCGGAGCGGGAGAACTGCGCGCGGCGGGCACGAGGGCCTGTGTCTGTTCTTCTGGATGCCCAACGAGAAGGAGTATGTCGGGTTCATGCAGGCTCGCGGCGTGCCCATCAAGCCCCTGCCGGAGGAGCTTTTGTGCGCGCTGTCTCCTGCTCGCCCTGCGCAGGTGCGCGCTCCATTCGGCGCGCTGCGAATGCCAAAGGACCCGGAGCTGTGGCTGCCCGAAGATGTGGAAAACGAGCAGGACGTGGTTGCCTTTGTCTCGTACATTCGGTCGTACAAGGAGCATCTGCTGAAGCACGTGCTGAACTACAAAGAGCTTGACTTCGCAGGGCTAACAGACCTGTACTGTCTGAAGCGCCTGCCGCACGTGCCTGAGATGCGGGGCGTGCACATTCCGCGGCTACCCGCCCTTCCAAAGAAGAAGGAGTGCGTGCCATTTGAGGTGGTTGAGGGCACAGGCCCAGAGGGCACCCCCGCAGAGGATGCGCCATGCTCTGCTCCTCCAAGAAAGGCCCCCGTTAGAAGAACGCGCCGCGCTAACATACCCAACATATACAAGCGACAGAAGCGATAGATGATAGCTGAAGAAACACAGCGCTATACAGTATAATAAATATGTTCACTGATATTGCTGTATACTGAAGGTCCGCATGTGCATACACATAGTCTGTCCGTGTTTATTTATGCCTGAGCACACATTCTTTCTCTACATATATATGCTATGTGTTATTGCAGTGTTTTTTATTGGTGATATTCGGGTTATACCTCTGCATACTTATTATATTTTATGCGGAGTGCATTGAGATTAGAATAGACTTCTGGCTATATACTATACACGTGCTGTGCATAGACACGCTATGCAAAATACTTGGTCTGTGATATGGTATTCTAGAATATTTATTGTTTGCAATCCTTGCTATAATACGCTGCAGGGTTTTAGTTCATGTGTCTGCTGCTTCTACAGAGTACTCTCTTCTGTAGCTGCTGGCTGTGATGCATTTTCCTCCTGCGGTGCTTCTCTTGGGCTTCTTGGCGCCCTCACAGGCTTCTGCGTCTTCTCCGGGTGCAGTGTTGCAGTAACATGCAGCAGAACTCCCTTTAGCCCGCTGTGGTGCCGCGCTGCCAGAACTGTGCTCATGTATGTCTCCAGCGCAGCCAGGCTCTCTGGCGCGTCTTTTAGCGCGCGCACTGCCTGCTTCGCGACTGGTGTGAACGCATGGAGGTTGATCTTCTCTGGGCGGATCTTTCCAAGCACAGACAAAAGCCTCTCCTTGGGCAGCCGCGCGATCCCCATGCCTCTCAGGGAGTGCACTGTGCATGCCTTCTCTGTCAGCGCGTATATGCACAGCTTCTCTATCGCATGCACTGTCTCGCTGCTCTCTGGAAGCGTCTGCAGCGCGGACAGGAGTGCCTGTGCATACACAAAGTCGTGCACGCCCGTGCGCATGCTCTGCACGTACTGCGACGTGGCCTCCACAAGAGCCTGCTCTCCGCGCTGTGTTCTGAGCACTGCAAGCCCAAGCGCGCGCACCTTCTCCTCTGGAACTGTCTCTTTGTGCACCTTCTTGTATATAGCGAGCACTCTCTTCCACACGGGCAGCGGAGACTCGCATCTCTTTGCCAGCACGCACAGCGCCTCTGCTCGCACTGATATGTACTCGCGCAGTGCCTCCCGGCTCTTCTTTGTTCCGGAGAACAGGAAGATCTGCTTCTCCATGCGCTCTTCCTCTCCTGGCCCAAGCCCCTCTGTGTCGGGGAAGAACCTCTCCATCTCCCTCTGCACAAGGGCTGCAACGGCTGCGTCCTCTGCTGGCGCGTGTGCAAGCAGAACCCGCCCCACGTGCTTCACATTCGCGTGCTCTGCGTCTATGGCAAGCGTGTATGCATACTCCAGGACTCCTTCAGGCCCTCCTGCATACAGCGTGTGTCTGTGTGCATGCAGCACACTGTTTAGCACGCTCGTGCACACGTCTTCTGTGCCTTTGTATCCTGTGAGCATCTCCAGCCGTGCGCGCAGCTGCTCCATGCTTCGCGTTGTTTTCAGCACGGTCTGCACTGCCTTGTTCAGCGCCTTTCCCTCAAGCTGGCCAGTCTGTGCAAGCACCTCGTCTATTCCCATCTGCGCAAGCTCCTCCTGCGCGATTCCCCGGTCTGCAAAGTGCTGCACCATGCCTGCTGGAAGGCCAAAGCCTCTTTTCCTCTCCTTGCCGCTTGCTACTTCTGTGCTGTTTTCTCTGTTGCTTTCTGCAGCCTGTATTTCCATTTTTGCAAAAATATTCCGCAGTGCTTCTATAGCAGTGCCGAGTCTGCCTATACACAGTGCAGAAGAATAAGAAAAAAGAGAGGAAAAAGAAAAAGAGATGTAAGATCCTAATATGCTCTCTACAAAGACTAGTATAGCGAATAAAAATGTGTCAATATATACTGCCTATTACAGTGGCAGGAATAACGCAAAGCCAGAAAGAAGCAGTGGTTCATTGAATCCTTGCAATAAGCGCAGTGCATATTTATTTCCGGTTATAAGCACGTGACAAATACTAAAACTGCAGCAGTATGCGTGCACACCTGCTGAATAGTACATTCTTCTCTGAATGTTCTGGAGAACCTCTGCACACTCTGCATCCATGTGTGAGCGAGGCAGGGTACTTTGCACTAGATTGTGAGCAAGGTGAGACATCTTCAGCGGCCTTTTGTGCTTGAGAAGACATTTTGGCAGCCACACTTTGAGTTTTTCATTCTGTAGGTGTATGCACAGAAAAATACTGTTTGGCCAAATTATCTTTATGTTCTCTGAAAAGCACAGCAGCTCTGTTTAATCTGTTATAACACATGCTCTTTTGTCTGCACTCTCTGCTGCACTCTATATACTGTATTGCATCTGCACGCTTGCACTCTATAATGTGTCTGGTGTGCTCCAAGCAACTCCTATTGTATTTGCACTTGTCTGCGCCCTTTGGTATGCACTTGCTCTTTCTCTCTTGTGTCCTTGGG